GAAGTGGAACGACTGTGGAGAAGAACTGAGAGAAACAGTCGACAAGGCCGTTAACAAAACCCTCTTTCCCACTAGCAGTGAAGGAGGCTGGCTTGGGGAAAGAGGCACGTACAAACAAGTTTTCTGGAGATGTCAGTCGTTCTATCGGTTGATACGGCAATCAACCTAGCTGATTTCACACGTTATGCCAGCCACGCACCACTTCCGGAGGTGGGCGGTCCTGGATTGACCAGGCGGCCCTGGATTGAAACCGAACGCCCCGGGGCCTTAACGGGGTTTTTCAAGGTGGGAAGTTGCTGCAATGTGTGCAGCTACCCACATACAACCTCCAGGCACGGGAATTACTTCTCTAGCGTGCCTGAGCCCGACCTTTGCCTTTAAGGCAAGATTTCAGGCCCCTGTTGCGGTCCAGGACAGCGCCATAACTTCAATGTGGAAACCTCGCTTCTTACGGAGAAAAATGGCTATTCGTTTGTGGAGTGGGGGGGGGGGAGATAGCAGGGCAAATCGAAGCCGTCGAGAGTTCTTTGGGAAGGAAGTCGTCTTCAGTTTGGGAGGAAAACATGAGGCGGATTGATACCAATGGCGGCGTACTCCTAGAAGTAGACATCACGTTACCCACAGGGAGACACAGGAAGAATCGAAGGGGTTTGAGGATTCTTATGGGATTGTGAAGAAATTGGATAAAATTCCAGAATTTTTACTTATATTTCTTTCGGAAATTTACTTCTGTATGTACTCTGTGCGATACCCCGCTCAGAAGATATTTGTTCGGTGATTTTTTGAAGATGAAGTCAGGAATAATTCTGCCTAGGAAAGGGTTAATTCAAAATTATGGAAGGAAAATCGAAGTGGGGTAGCTGGATGCGAGGTAGTGGGATTCTAACCCGAGGGTCGTGCTAGCTTTTGTAAGAGAGAGCAGGGTCATTTAAGTCGAATTTTCTCAACACCTGGCCCTACTAGCAGGGTCGGCCCTGTGGTTTTGACTTTCTGCAAGATTTTTACGACTCCCTCCTTCACGAGAGATTTCATATGACCCCTACTTCACAAGTTGTTCCCCCCCCCAAAAAAACACCGTCGAGCGGGAGGTATATATGACTACCATGAAACCGCAAAATTTCCTCTATTTCCCTTTCATTTTTCCCTCATTTTCCCTCTATTTTACCTGTTTTACCTATATTTCCACTACAACATTTTCTAGGGGGGACCTCATTGCATGTAATTTCGTGCTACCGGAACAAGTACGACCCCTCCATCACAAACTACAACAA